ACACACACACACACACACACACACACACACACACACACACACACACATATAAATCTTCCAATGAAAATTAAAATATTCTCCCAAGTCATCTATATAGCTAGAAGATCAGTTTATATTTTGGAAAGTCATACTTAGAATAATACATCATATAATATGGATGAATGCTAACTAATCAAGAAGTCTGCTAAAGCTGAAATTGTAATACTTTTGTTTTATGTTCCTTTCAAATGTACTAAATTCTGTGATTTCAAAGAGCAGTAAGGAGTAGAAATAGAACATAATTCCAAATCTATAATCTTTGGAAGTAACAAAAACTCAAAGGAACACTATATTTTTTAAAATGTAAGAATGACTAACTTCACAAGATTCTGAAACGCAAAACCATCTGTCCATTGTTCAGTAAATGAAGCACCATGTCTAACTGTTGTGAAGTGCCCAAGGCGTAATCGGTCTTGCATACTCTTCTCTCTGCTTGACAGTTTTTCTTGTGTACTCTGAAAAAAGGAAAAATCATCAATTTTATTCATTTAAATTTAAAACTGTACAAGGTGAAAAGGGGCCATATAATAAAGTAAATTTATTATATCCGATTATAATAAGCCTTAGCAAAGATAATAAGCAACAACATTATTTACTGCCCATTGCTGATAGGAGTGTAAATGAATGAAAAGGAAATTCACTGAACTTTTAACTTACCTTTTCAATAAGCAGCTTCTTGCTCATTGATATGCACTTATTTAATCGTTCTTTGTATTTTTCAAGTAATTTTTGTTGTTCATCTATCTGCCGTCTGAGATCACAGTTAGCCTACAACATAAGTAAAAATAGAAAAGGTCTAGAATTTGTGTATATGGGACACTTTGGAATATTCTTACATTCTGAATAAATTACATAAAAAGAAAGGATTAATAAATTAAGTATTTGAGTATGATGTTAAATAATTTTATTTCTTAAAAATTTTTTATTTATTTATTTGACAGAGAGAGACAGGCGAGAGAGGGAACACAATCAGGGGGAGCTGGAGAGGGAGAAGCAGGCTTCCCGCGGAGCAGGGAGGCTGATGCGGAACTCAATCCCAGGATCCTGGGATCGTGACCTGAGCCGAAAGCAGACACTTGCTTAATGACTGAGCCATCCAGGTGCCCCTAAAATAATTTTTTTTTAAACATCTACTAACCATGTGTAATACTGTTAAATGCTGCATAATTGTGCAGCGTAAAGTACATGGAATTTGTATCCATACCCCATGGGTTCAAATCAGCACCATAAGGTATGTAACCTTGGCTAAGTTAAGTCAGCTATCTGAACTTTACCTTATTTTTTTTTTTGTATTTCTAGAACAGAGGCAATACCAGCTACTTCACTTAGTTAAAAATAACTAAAATATAGTACATAAAGTGTCTAACACTTAAAAATAAATGTGAGTTCTCTTCCATCTTTTTTAACTGATAGTTTTTCTTCATTAAACTTGTGGATGGCACTATAGATGCCTACCTAATAGCTAACTATTTCCACCATCTTTCTTGGCAACAAGATACCAATTTTGTTGACTTTGTAGGAAGCCACATTGATCAGGGAAGGGGCCTTTCTCTAAGCTCAGGAGATGAGCTGGATTAGTCTAGTACAGTGACAAAAGAATAACCTGGAGGGCTTGTTGTAATACAGATTGCTGGGACACACTCCCAGAGGAGTTTCTTTGTAAGTAGGTCCCCAGTAATGGATGCTTCTGGTCTGGGAATCAACTGTGAGAACCACAGGTCTAGGCCAATCATGGTGGAAGGCAAAAGACAGTGGCATAATATATTGCAAATGCTAGGAGAAAATATCTGCCAATTTAAATTATATACCTAATCAAAATGTTTTTCAAGGAAAAGGGTAAAATAAAGAGACTCTCAGAAGAACACAGATGGAATTTAGCAAGAACGAAGCCATTTCATTAGGTGCAATTCAAACAAAATCCCAACAAACTCCGTGTGTAAGACAGTCTTCCTCAACAAATGGTGTTGGGAAAATTGGACAGACACATGCAGAAGAATGAAACTGGACCATTTTCTTACACCATACACAAGAATAGACTCAAAACGGATGAAAGACCTAAATGTGAGACAGCAATCCATCAAAATCCTAGGGGAGAACACAGGCAGCAACCTCTTCGACCTCGGCCACAACGACTTCTTGCTAGACACATCTCCAAAGGCAAGAGAAGCAAAGGCAAAAACGAACTACTGGGACTTCATCAAGATAAAAAGCTTTTGTACAGCAAAGGAAACAGTCAACAAAACCAAATGACAACTTACAGAATGGGAGAAGATATGTGCAAATGTCTTATCAGATAAAGGGCTAGTATCCAAAATCTATAAAGAACTTATCAAACTCAACCCAGAGAATAATCCAACCAAGAAATGGGCAGAAGACAGGAACAGACATTTCTCCAAAGAAGACATCCAAATGGCCAAGAGACACATGAAAAAACGCTCAACATCACTCAGCATCAGGGAAATACAAATCAAAACCACAATGTAATACTACCTCACACTGGTCAGAATGGCTAACATTCACAAGGCAGGAAATAACAGATGTTGGCAAGGATATGGAGAAAGGGGAACCCTCCTACACTGTTGATGGGAATGCAAGCTGGTGCAGCCACTCTGGAAAACAGGATGGAGGTTCCTCCAAAAGTTGAAAATAGAGCTACCCTATGACCCAGCAATTGCACTACTAGGTATTTACCCCAAGGGTACAAATGTAGGGATCCGAAGGGGTACGTGCACCCCGATGTTTATAGCAGCAATGTCCACAATAGCCAAACTGGAAAGAGCCAAGATGTCCATCAACAGATGAATGGATAAAGAAGATGTGGTATTATATATATACAATAGAATATTATGCAGCCATCAAAAAATTGAAATCTTGCCATTTGCAATGATGTGGATGGAACTAGAGGGTATTATGCTAAGCGAAATAAGTCAATCAGAGAAAGAGAATTATCATATGATCTCACTGATATATGGAATTTAAGAAACAAGGCAGAGGAGCATAGGGGAAGAGAGGAAAAAATGAAACAAGACGAAACCAGAGAGGGAGACAAACCATAAGAGACTCTTAATCATAGGAAACAAGTGAGGGTTGCTGGAGGGGAGGGGGGTGGAGGGATGGGGTAACTGGATGATAGACATTAAGGAGGGCATGTGATGTAATGAACAGTAGGTATTATATAAGACTGAGGAATCACAGGCCTATACCTTTGAAAGCAATTAATACATTATATGTTAATTAACTGAATTTAAATAGAAAATGATTTAAAAGTAAAAGAAAAAAACAAAACCCACATGCAAACAGTAACCCATTAAGAAAAATGAGTAAAAAAATATGATTGGTTATTTCTCAGAAGAAACGCAGTTAATAAATATTTTAAAAGATGCTAGAAAATAGAGAACACAATAAAAGATAAAAGACACTGGGGCGCCTGGGTGGCTCAGTCGTTAAGCGTCTGCCTTTGGCTCAGGTCATGATCCCAGGGTCCTGGGATTGAGCCCATCGGGCTCCCTGCTCAGCTGGAAGCCTGCTTCTCCCTCTCCCACTCCCCCTGCTTGTGTTCCCTCTCTCGCTGTCTCTCTCTGTCAAATAAATAAAATCTTAAAAAAAAAAAAAAAGATAAAAGACACTGTTACATCCACCAAATTGGCCAAGAAATTTATTACATCCGATTATAATAAGCCCTAGCAAAGATAATAAGCAACAACATTATTTACTGCCCATTGCTGATAGGAGTGTAAATTAATCCAACCGCTTTGGGGAAAATTTGGCATTATAAAGCAAAACTGAACATGCCATGTACTCTGGCCACGTATCTCTTAAAGCATATACTGTTAAGACAAATTTTTCCACATTTGCCCTAAAAGACATGTACAATAATGTTCTTAGCAGAACTGTTCGTATTAGCAAAAAGTAGAAATAAAATGTCCACCAAGAGCAGAAAAAATAAATTATGGTATATTCATATAATGCCTTACTATATATATAGCATGAAATGAACAAAGTACATGGCAATGCCACATATAACGTTTAGTGAAAACAAGCAGAGCAAAAGGGTACAGACAGCGTAATTTTATGTAAAGTTCAAAAATAAACTGAAGGGTGCCTGGGTGGCTCAGTCAGTTAAGCGTCTGCCTTCAGCTCAGGTCATGATCCCAGAGTCCTGGGATCAAGTGCCATGTCGGGCTTCCTGCTCAGCGGGTAGTCTGCTTCTCTGACCCTCCCCTGAGGTTGTGCACTCTCTCTCTCTCTCACTTTCTCTCTCAAATAAATAAAATTTAAAAAAATAAACAAACTGAAATATGTTAAGAATGTATAGATACATGTGATAAAACCGTAATAATAAGGCATAATAAATACAGAACTTAGAACAGTTAATGGTAAAAGAATGTGAGAGTGACTGGGATGGGATCAGAAAAGGCAAGCTGGATGTTTCAAAGGTATCGGTAATTGTGGTAGGATCACAGATAAGACATTGGTTTTATTGAGTTTTTATACCAATAGTTCTCAATGCTGGCTTAAATTATAATCATCTGGAGGAGCTTTGTTTTGGTTTTTGTTTTTTGGAGGAGCTTTAAAACTACCAATTCCCAAGCCCACATCACATCAATTTAATCAGAACCCCTCACTTTTGGAGTTTAGGCATGGGTACCTTTATAAAGTGCCTCCCACCCTTCCCATTTGGTGATTCTACCGAGCAGCAAGGGGTGAGAACCACTGCTTCTTACCTTACTCACATTATAAGTATTTTCTGATGTGTCCTTTTATAAAGTTTCCATTAAAAATCTCACAGGATTGCAGTAGTTACTTCATCTTGTATAATATCAAATGTCAGGTTTATAACAAAATCAGTTACCTTTAAAACTAACATGAAATGGCCATCGGTCTTATGATAGCTGATCAAATAAAAATAAATTTTACAAACTTCCCTGTATTTCTCCAACTGTTTCTCAGTTCACATTTATTTACTAAAGATTTTTTTATGTATTTTAGAGAGAACATGAGTGGGAGGAGCAGAGGGAGGGAGAGAGAGAAGCTCAAGCAGACTCCATTGTGAGCCCAACTTGGGGCTCAATCTCATGACTCTGAGATCAAGACCTGAGCTGAAACCAAGAGTTGGACGCTTAACCAACTGTGCCACCCAGATGCCCCCCTCAATTTACATTTAAAGAGCTAATAATTTTCGCTTTAAAATAGTGATTTTCACGTACTTAAAGCTACCAGAAAAAGCTTATTTTTTCCCAGCTAAAGAATATTTTACAATGCTAAGTATTTCCTCAAGTTTTATTATTTCCAAATAATTTACTCAATTTTCTCCCCCTCCATGACTTATTATCCTTATTACCCTCCAAGACTACTTACCCTGAGCAAGTCATCTATACGACCTTCCTTCTTTTCCAGGTCCTGGTTTTTATTACTTTCTAATGCTGCTAATTTCAGCATTGTGAGATCAGTCTAAAGGAAAGAAAGCTATTTTATTATCTCCATTATACATATCATTGCATGCAAATATAAAACTAGATTTTAGTGCTTGTAAAAACAAAGAAAATATTTGAGTCTGTGTATATAAAAGTTATCCCAAAAAAGTCTTAGTACAGTTTTAAGATTTTAACATCTTCAGAAGTATAAGTTCTATAAGCTTACAAAGAAACATTTAAAAAACTGATTACTAAAAGTTTTAGAATATTGTTATGTTCTTCATTAAAATTCAATATAACCACTGCTTTGTGCTATCAACTCTAGTTGATTTTTGAACATGACAAAAACTTTCATGAGCTATTCATTGACTGAAAGCAATGTACTTGTAATCCCAGCCTAAAGATCATCCAAAGAAAGAAGTTTTGATGCATGTACAACAGCTTGGACATGACCTAACAGAAAAGTCTAATGGCAATAAACTGGAGTAATAAAGGTGGCTAAGCAAAAGATCTACTCTTCCAATCCCCGTGGTCTGCTATAGTAAAATACAAAAACTGTCACATGTAAAAAGTTAAAATGAAAAACTTAGTACTCAAAATTCATAAAATCAAATAAGCATAAAAGATGTCTAATTTTCAAATGATATCTGTAAGTGTATAGCATATATGAATATACACAGACACCCCAAATGACCTACTTTAATGTTCACTTATGACAAATATAATAGCTTCAGGAAAACATTGATTATATGTATTTGGATGGTATGTTCAAAAAGAAGCAGTAAACAAAAACTGACATGTCATGCTTGTTCTGTTTCTTACAAGTTATACAAAAAATTTTATTTACTATTTACCTGAGTAATTTTAAAGGATAACTGCTTTGGTTGTATAATAGGGTGGTCCCCAAAAGCTAACGCAGTAGGAGAAGGGCTATTCGGTCGAACCTTAGAAAAAGATTAAAATTTTTACATTAGCAAGAAAAAGATAGGCTTTTGCTCAGCAATAACTACTTAACACTTCTTAAGTTTTTATCAGGATAACAACTGAATTAAAAGATAATTGATTTTTCACAACTTTTAATCATTTTATTCAAGAAGCACTCATTTTTAGAGTACCCTCCCTTACATAAGGCACAGTGGAAAAAACAACCATATATTCCCTGCCCTCAAACTTACATTCTAGAACCATAAAAAAATTTTTTAATGCTTTCAATCTGTTAAATATATACAGTATATTAGGAGAAATACAGTATTTCAAAACAAAAATATTAAAAACAGATGACGATGGTTCAAAAAGTAAAACTGAAAAGACCCTAATATAGAACTCTTAGTACCAAGGACAATAATGCACATCCATATAGAATATAATATCAGTTTACTGATGAGTTTCATGGTTTATCTAGTTACTAGTTTTAAAACACATCATTGAAAACAGACTATATCATTGTATCAATGCCATCACTATAACTCAAAATTATTGTTGAGTCTGACACTTTATTTTGCATATGGCAATATGATGTAGCCAAGTACAAAAGGAGTAAGACACAACTAAGTGTGTGTCTACAGGCAAGGCATAGAAGGGGACACTGGAAGTAAAAACAGGGTACTTGAAAAAAATAAGATACTCCGATTTTAAAAAAATCCTTAATTCATTTTTAAATTACTGAAAGCCAATGCTGCTTTTCTGGTTAGACATTAAATTTTCATATAATAAAAGTAAAGAAAAAATGAAATCCAATAAGCAAAACAATGCATATAAATAGAAATAGATCTTAAAACACTAGCCACAAACCAAAAAGTTGTAAGATAATTTTTAGGCCCAAGATCCTTCTATGTTGAACTAAAATGATCCAGGAATAGGGCGACTGGGTGGCTCAGTTGGTTGAGCGACTACCTTCGGCTCAGGTCATGATCCTGGAGTCCCAGGATCGAGTCCCGCATCGGGCTCCCTGCTCAGCAGGGAGTCTGCTTCTCCCTCTGACCGTCCCTCCTCTCATGTGCTCTCTCTCACTCTCTCTCTCAAATAAATAAAATCTTTTTTAAATAAATAAATAAAATAAAATGATCCAGGAATAAAGGGTGCCTACCTTTCTCTTAAGGAGAGTTAGAAATTAGAAATCAATAATTGAATATGGATTGATACAAGAGTATTCATTTTAGTCCCATAGGCTCGACAGCATTCTTTTATAGAAACTTTATTTCTTGGATATAATTAATTCAGGAAATCTTTAACTTAAGGATCTCACTTGAAGAAATAAAGTTCTAAGAGCATCAGATCATTAAAAAGAATTTAACTGGGCACCTGGGTGGTTCAGTTGGTTAAGCGACTGCCTTCGGCTCAGGTCATGATCCTGGAGTCCCCGGATGCTTGGGACTGCTTGGCAGGGAGTCCGCTTCTCCCTCTGGCCCTCCCCCCTCTCATGTGCTCACTCTCTCTCATTCTCCCTCTCTCATAAATAAATAAAATCTTTAAAAAATAAATAAATAAAAAGAATTTAACTTAACTCACAGAATGATTTTCTAAAAAGATAAACAAATAAATATATGTAGAAATTTTCAATGAAAAGTTAATCTGTATACATATACATATAGGTTCAGCAGACAGAAGACTATCTACACATGTGAAAACTTACAGATGAAGAAGGAGTGGAATGTGAATGTGAATTTTGAGGAGAACGGATCGCAGGAGGTATGCCTCTTACTGGACTTGAGCCATTCCCACCTTGGTACTGAGAAAAAAAAAGGAAACATCACTCTTTATTAGAAGAGGTTTAGCTAGATGTTATTTTTGACATGACAATAAGAATTGATTTAAATATATCTTCTTTTAAATTAAATTCGGCAGTGATTTAAACAGGTCAAGAAAAAGCAAAACTAAGGTCAGTTACAGCCGAGTCCTAAAAGACTAAAGAGAGAATACTGATCGCAAGAATGTGAAAAGACTATGTTTAGTAAAGACCCTTATTTCCTGAACATTCTGACTATAATTTGTTACTGTGGCAGACTCAAGATAAATTAATTTCCCCCAAACAATGAACATATATTATTTTTCCTTCAAATTTTAATACAGTTCTGTTATAAATGTTTGTTGAAGGGGCACCTGGGTGGCTCAGTCGTTAAGCGTCTGCCTTCCGCTCAGGTCATGATCCCAGGGTTCTGGGATCAAGCCCCACATTGGGCTCCCTGCTCAGCGGGAAGCCTGCTTCTCCCTCTCCCACTTCCCCTGCTTATGTTCCCTCTCTCACTGCGTCTCTCTGTCAAATAAATAAAATCTTTAAATAAATAAATAAATGTTGAAGCAGTATAATCCCTAATACCCCTAATTTAACATATTTACAAGTAGATATTAGTGAATGTAATAAACCATCTTAAAACAGAATCATCATTCTCAAAATGTTAAAAATCCAAATGTTTGTAAGTACTATATAAAAAATTACACAGATCAAGTCCCTTCCCTTTAACAGCACAAAATCTTATAAAAATCAATCTTTCTTTTATGCACAACATGCATTACAGTGCATGACCTAGGTGCATATGAAGAGAAGCCACCTAATGTATTCTATAGCTACCTCTCAAATTTCTCATGTTTCTCTACCAACAAAAGGAGGAGAAAATTCACTGCTACTGGCTTCCTTTCAGGGTATTAAGAGAAGACAAGAGATGAGGACCTCCTAGTGTATTTTCCTGTAGCCTAGGGACTTTGTCTAATTTTTTTTAATCTACAGTGCCTAAGCAGAACTCACGGCACATGAAGAGCATTCAAGAGACTTGAGATTTATTTATCTGAATTGATCCAAGCTTTGCTAAGATTGTTAACTGAAACTAACACTGAGGGACTGACCTCAACCAAAGAGCACTAGGTCAGTAACACTAGACCATGGTCAGCAACAGTTTTACCATAGATTCTGTAAACCCAATTAAGAAAAACAATGGATGGTAAAAAAAAATTTTTTTTAATGCAGCCCTTCCCCTGACTGGCAAATTCTGCTCTCACACTCAAGTAAATATAAATATTTTTCAACTAAGTAGATGATGTTTGTTGTTTTAACAATCATATTAACGTGCCATAATGTGAAACTGATAGCCAAAAGTATTTATGTGTAGAAGTAAGAAAATATTCTAGACAGGGTAAGAATCTAAATTTACCACTATTTATTATTTTCAGGGGCTCTTAGATTTCACACTTCTATCATTATTTAATTTCCATCTATAGGGCTCAAATGTTGCCGTGGTGCTATCATTAAGGCTGCAATGACAGCAGAAACAGTTCAAAACTAGAAGCTATTAGACTTCAACTTCTCTTTTTGCTCTTCCTTTTTTTTTTTTAAGATTTATCTATTTGAGAGAATGAGGGAGCACACATGCACACGTGCATGCAGAAGAGAGGGACAGAGGGAGGAGAGAATCTTAAGCCGACTCCATGCTAACTGGGGGAGCCCTACATCGGGCAGGAACTCAGAGTCGGATGCTCATCCAACTGCGCCACCCGGGTGTCCCTCTTTGCTCTTCCATTTAGAATTTGACTTTAAATAGGCAACTTTACATCTCTGGTCTTCAGTTTCCTCATATGTAATATAGAAACACTAATACCTACTGTACCTATCTCCTGGGTTGTCATAAGCAAATATGTGAAAAAGTACTCTGAAAATTATGATGTGCCATTCCAATGTAAAAGTAAATTTTAAAGTTCCTAGGAAGACAGGACATTACTGCTCTAATCAAGTAGATAATCAAAAGTTGACCTTGTGCTTCAAAGAAATTATTTCAGCCCACAGTAAAATTATAAAAATAAGTATAAAAAATAGTAAAATTATATTAAGAACTGGAGATATTTGTTAATAAACTTACTTCAAAATAGTCACTAATTTTGTGGCCACGTCCCCCAATACTTTTTCCTAAAATATAAAAGTAAAAATTTTTTACAGATTTAAAGTTAGTCATGACTACTTATCATATACTATATCAGAAAAAGAATGTGTTAAACTTAATTTCCCTAATACACATAAAAATCATCTGTTTAATAAAAAGAACATGGTATTTTAGTTGGTTAGTGAGGGACACTGAAAAAATTATATTAAGAACCCTCAGAGGGTAAGATGACAATTTCAGAAATCCAAAAATCAAATGACATTTCAATAGTAACACGTCAATTGTTAAAGTTCCAATTACTGGAGAATCAAATAAATAAATGACATTAAAGGATCTTGTTTTTACAACTACATTATTCATATTGCTTAATGGCTATAATTTCATAAAAGCAAATCAATGAATAAAAAAAGAAAAGTGGCAACTGCATAACTGACAAACCAATTTATACCCATAAATAATAAAAAAGCTTTAACACAAAACCATACAAACTGACAATAACATGCTTTAACATGAATGTTACTTTGTAAAATATTTTGATTTTCTAAAAAGTATTCCCAAATTAACAGGACTTTTTTAATAGACTAGATTTTAAATATTGCTCTTATATGACCATATTGATAAAGTGGGTCCAAATCATTATATATCACAGTTCTTTAATTAAAAGTTTTGCTCTAAAACGGACTCTTCATCACTTTTATAAATTTTGAATTAAGACGGTGCTAAGAAATAGTGTTAGAGATACTTCTTTGGATGAGAGGCACCCACCCTTCAGTGGAACTATATAAAATACATGATTTCTTCATTACAAAGAAAAATTGACAATACCATGAAATCAAAAGCTTTGGATAATACAAACATACACATTTATCAATTCAATACTGACTTATATTTATTTATTCAACGAATATTTGAGTGATTACGCCTATGTGCCAGGCATTATTGAAATGAACAAAGATTACATTTAAAAGTTCAACAACCTTAAATTCTTTTGTGGAACAAGAAAAATTAAGTAAGTACCCAGGACTATAAATGGTACCTAGAAACTTTGAACAACAGTTTTGTACAGGTTTACTTAGAAGTCAGAAAGGATTGTAAAGGTTTTACAGCTATACCTTGTTTCACTGAATTTCACTGATACTGTGGTTTTTGGGTTTTTTTAAACACAAATTGAAGGACCTTGCATTGAACAAGTCTACAGGCATCATTTTTCCAATAGATACCATTTGTTTACTTCATGTCTGTGTCACATTTTAGTAATTCTCACAATATTTCAAACTTTTTCATTATTATATGTATTTGTTATGGCAATTTGTTATCAGTGATTACAACTCACTAAAAGCTCAGGTGACAGCATTTTTCAGTAATATTTTTAAAATTAATATACGATGTTTTTTAGACACAATGCTATTGGCACACAACAGACTACAGTATAAACATACTTTTATATACACTGGAAAACCAAGAAATTCATTTGACTCGTTTATGGTAATACTTGCTTTATTGTGATGGTCTGGAACCAAACCTGTAGTATCTCTAAGGTATGCCTGTATACCCAAGGAATTTTCCTTCCACCTATAACAACTTTCCTGCAGATTCTGAAGAAGGTGCTATTATTTAAACATGCAGAGATGGTTTGGGTTGCCTATCCAGAAGCTATGTCCCTAATTCTTTTTCCCTAACTCAACCCAAACTTGGCTGTTAATTCCCTCCCCCTACATACCACATGTAATATCAGGCGAAACTAACCCCTATCTGGCCTCCATCCTAGTTCCCCTCCCCTCCTGATCAGAAATCCAATTTTGTTCAGGTATCGATCATCCCTTCTCCACAACGCCCACATTTCTAAAAGGAACTTTACCCACTTTCAATTTCAGAGATGGACCTGGTTTTTCTAAGGGCAATAGGACGTATGTTAGACATAACTGGCTAAGGAATGAATGGACTCATGACCCAATTCTGGCCGACAAGATTACAGGACAGGTTTCCTCTGGACTTGAAGCTTACCTTCAAAGAAAGAGGGGAAAAAACACAGAAAGCCAACCTCTCTCTAAAGCAAATACAAGTGTGAAAGCTCAAGTAAATCCAGTCAAAACTGACAACCATTCTAAATACATAAGAAAATCAGACAATTCTTGTGGAGAGCAGACCACAAAGAAATAAACATGGATTCTTAAAAACATAGGTTGAATCAACCAACCCAGAAGTCCTAATATGGGACTGCTTTTAAGTGAGTTTTTAAATCTAAAGTTGAAACTATCATAACTAATATAACTTTACACTAAATAAAGCTCCAAGTCCACTAACCACAACATCATGGAACTGCACTAAGACCAAAACTGAGCTCTGAACAGACGGAGATACAAAGTACCACACATCTATAGAAAGATGGTAGAGTGACTTAAATTTCCTTCCACACAGACAGTTGCTGCGAATATATTCCTTGATGCCAGTGCCACATGTAAGTACTAGTAAGCCATGGGTTCCTGGCTCCAGTCCTTAAAGCTAAAGAGCGGCTCCAAAACATGTAATCATATGTATAAAGTCATTATATATGACTTAAGAGCCAATTTATTGTATTTAATTTTAAGTGGCGAAATTAAATGACAATACTATTTTGTTGTCCATTATAAGAGTTTTGTAGATGACTTGAAAATCATCTTCTTAGCCTATATCACAAAGGGCAGGTATGTAAGAAAGAATGAAGAACAGGTATAGAAAAAGATGATGCTTTAATAAGCATCTCAATCATTTTTATACAGTCTTTTTCTTTTTTAAATAAAAGGAATAAGCAAGCTTTTGGTACCTGCACTTTAAAGTGACATCTAAAGTTCCTATTCAAAGACAAGAAGCCATTTCAATACTGTAATTCAGATAAAGAAAGAAAAATGAAAGGTGATAAGGTAATGTTTGCCAGGTTTGGACATGACACTTGCCTTTCTAATTCTCAAGTAAAAAAAAAATATATGGGAAATGTCAAAAAGCCTAAAAACAGTAATCATACACTACCTGTGGTACAAAAGATTTCAATTTCATATTATTCTTTCTTACGGGAAGTACATTTATGAACTCTTATTAATGCATAAATTTATAATAGCTATAGAAATGATAAAAACACAATATTACTTTTATAGTTAAGCTAGTTAATTGATTAACAATCAGATTAATTGTAAATACTTATTTGGCTCTGAGGGATTCTGCTTCACTTACCCTGACTACTTTCATTCTGGTTTTCTGCTTTTCTCTTTCTTCCTCTGGATGATTCCGATTGTTTCTTCTCTGGTGTCTACAGAAAGCAAGTTAACAGAATTTAAAGTTACAGTTTTTACATATACCATTATTACAGTCAGTATAAAAATTATTTTTATTTCAAAACAAAGACTATTTTGTTCATTAGTGCTCATGCGATGTAAATGTATAGTTACCTATATACAATTTATTTAAAAGATAAAATTTCCTACTATGTAAATTTTAAATAGTCAAAGTATAGAATCCCTTGTAAACATTACTTGAAATTCACATTTATAGAATATGACTTGAGATGGATGAAAAATCTGAGAGTAAACAGCCTTTTAAAGCCACCCTTCACTGGATTGGGCAAAACACAATAAAAACAAGTAAAGAAAAAAAAAACCTGTGTTTTTCCTATTAGTTTTCTATTATTCATACATATTTAGTTTATAAAAGTAAACTTGGATGAAAAGAGCAGAACTCAAACCCCAATATATATATACAATCCCTACAATTATTATCTAACAATGAGAGCAAATTCATAGATTATGCTCTAAATCAGGGGGCAGCAAACTACAGCCCAATGGCCAAATCTGGCTAGCCACCTGTTTCTGTAAGGCCCATTATCTAGGCATGACTTTTACATTTTTAAATAACTGAAAAATTTAATAATTAAAACAATATTGTGATATGAAAATTTTAAGAAATTCAAATTTCAGTGTCCATAAATAAAGTTTTATTGGAACACAGCCACACTCGCTCATTTAACGTACTATGGTTGCTTTCACACTACGACAGCAGAGTTAGTTCCCAGAGAGACTATATGGTCCACAAAGCCTAAAACATCTGGCCCTTTACAGAAGTCTGCAGATTCCCAACTCTAGGTGATTGCTTATTCTCAAATTAGCGTTTTCATCAGGCTAAAATTAACAAGTAATTTTTGTGGAGTCTGACAAGCTGTTGTGCTTAAAAATTAAAACTAAGAGCAAAAAGCACAATGCAATGGCACAAGGCCCTCAAATTCTAGAAGCTTGGCAAGTATGTCTGGTGCCAGAACAAAGAATGTTTGAATGAATGATACAACTTAAATCTCTAAAGGCAATGCAGTCCCCAAACAAGGGAAATAATCCATATTTTGTTGTGTCTGAGTAACCTATGATTAAACAGTAAGAATGACAACACATAACCTAACTTGTGTTGAGCATCTATGATTCCTCTTTAGTACTATCATGGGGATTTTAAGTTCTCTCACCCCCATTCTGTCAACATGATAACAGATTCAGAGAGGATGAAGTGAATGTTCTAGTGTCTGAATTCTTTTAACAACAGGAGTTCTATCATCTCCCCATCTTACCCTCCCATTTCCTCATGCCTAGCATACAGTTATCACTTGATAAATACATTAATGTTAAGTAACTTATTCAAGGTAACCAAGATTTAAATCAAATTCAATTCTGCATTCCCAAGGCCTAAATGCTCTTTTTTTCTCTATATGACAGACTACGTGGCCTGTATCAAGAACTGAATGAATCAACAATACAAAAATATTTCAAAATTTTATCTAGTTTGTAAATAAAACTCATTATGTCCAATAAACTGCCTACATGTTTTCACAACACAAACCAGAGATCTTAAAGAAATCCACCCTAACTGGCGATCTACTCAGGAGGTAGCCTGATGTACCAGCAATTTAGGGTAAATAGGTCATTAGTTATCAGACTCAGACAAATAGCCTTTTATTTTCCTCAAAATAAAATAACACCAAATTAAAAATTCTAAGCTAACATTTTTATAAAGAACCTTAAAATCTATCTTAAAAGAGGATTCCCAAATAATATTTATTCACATCCTTCCCTAATCTGTTTAAAAAAAATGTAATTTAATATCAAGAAAATACGGTTTTTCACAACAGTTTAATGTTGTACTAATTTTTAAGCATGACAGGATCCCATCTAAATTCCATCTTAAATCTTGACTAGCTACTTTTGAATAAACAACAGAAAATCACACAAAATAACACAATTCTGAAAGTTATACTGGAAACATTTTCTATCTAAATGGTTCTGTATCATTTTCTAAAACATATTCCAAGGAACAGTGGATCATTTTGGTTGAGAGGCTACATTTTAAATGCAGAGGACAGCACGATGGTTCAACTGGGGTGAGCAAAGTTAGATTTATTTACCACAAAGCTTCTAAATGATAACATTCACTGGCTATCTCCAAAAGGGGAATGGGATGGAAAGTTACAGTGTATGAAGAAATTCTCAAACTTATTTAGTAACATTCATTAAACACTTTATTGAATATATATTTGAAGATATTTAAGGTCTTTTTTTTTTAAGACCTATAGATTACTTAAGGAAAAACTTTGAGGCAAAGTTTCCCTACCTAAATTTTAAATTTAATGGAATGGGGAAGTGGGACAGTCCTTTGAGGGAAATGTCATTTTGTTAAAAACAATGAATGAGAAAAACCCAAATGCGTAATTATTACAGTTGAAAAAAAAAACAGAAGGCCAGGCCAACAGGTTTACCTCCTTTAAACCGGAGAAGAATTTGAGGGGGGAGGGAGAAAGGATGACAAGATTAAAATTAATTTTAAGACTATAATGTATGACTAATGCAGGTAAAGAAGTTGGAAATAGGTAATAAAAAACTGAAAAGTTGAACAAAATATAAAACAAAAAAGGAAAACTGAGATATAAATAAATTCACCTATAAAGTAAATGTTTCCGTTATGAACACACCATATTCTGTCCCTTCCTATAAACTCTAATCTTTTCTCACCCATGTCCTAATATTACCACCTCATTCCTTACTCTTACCTCAGATTATTTTAGACTTGTTCTGTCATCCCAAAAGAACCATAATTTCCTAAAAAGCAAGTAGCATGGGTCTCTGAAGAAGCACAGATTGAGACTAAGAATCAAACTCTGGGTCCATTATTTACCATAACTCTCAGCATGTTATTTAACCCAAGACTCCAATTTTTCACCATTTTTTTTATGGTAATCTCTACGCCCAACATGGGGCTCGAATTCACGACCCCGAGGATTGAGTCACATGCTCTACTGACTGAGCCAGCCAGGCACCCTATTCTCATCAATTTTAAATGTGGTAATACAGGTATAGGATTGTGGGGATTATATAAGAAACACACCAGAAACATACTTAGTACACCATCTGGAACAGTTGTGTACTCTATAAATGTCAGTAAGAACCCAGTAAATTTTCTTATCTGAATGGCTATCCTATTATTCCAAATATCTGTGTACTTTCCTTTTTTAAAACTTCAATCACATGTTAAATGATTAGCAGTTTCTTCCCAATAGCTTATAAATAACTTGTAGGGCTTGCAAAATAAGTGATGTTTCCTGTTTAAGGTCCCACTCAACTGTCTTCTCAACTCTAAGCCACAGAACCAGCAGTCTAGGCCCTAAATATTATATCACCAACCTCAGGGAAAGGTGCATTAGTTTTTTGTTTGTTTTAAATTTAAATCTGAACAATACCTATATTAAACAAAACAAAAATTCTCAGTGAAGGTTCTGCTAACAATTCCCCTGAGTCACTCATTTCTACATGGATTTGGGAATTTAGAACCTTGGGGATTTAGGATATGCAGAAATGTACCAAATATTTAATCTCCAAAATGGCTCATCAGTGAAGAAAGATTCAGAATGCTATCTGTGATTTTCAAACTGTACTCCCAAGATACCTTAGGAAAGGAGGTGTACCTCAAAAGATGTTAAGAGGAAAAGGGAAGGAAGGAGCAGGGGGCTGAGCTAAGGCTCTAGCCTAACAAAGACACAACCCTATCCTACCTCTACCTCCATGCTTGCAAACACAGCATCCCTCATTTTAACACACTGAGGTCCCATATTAGTGGGACCTATGAAGAAAAAGAGTTCTATGAAGAACTCTTTGAAGAAAAAGAGTTCTATGGCTTAAAAAAGATTTGAAAAACCACTGATCTTGACCAGTGATTTCCTAGAAAATCCAAGGGACATCAACCAGGCCAGCTTGGCATTTGCACAAGATGTAAAAATTGCACATGCTGCATATTTTACAGAATGTTTTCAAGCTTATTACTGCTCTTGCTGATGCAGTCATTTCTTTCTTTTCTTTTTTTTTCATCAACTATTGCATTACAGTTTACCAGAAAATAGAAGGCAAAATAAATATGGAAAGCAAAATAATATGATATGGCTTTATTTATTTTTAAAGACTTACTCATTTGAGATAGAGAGTGAGCACAAGTTGGGGGAGGGCCAGAGGGAGAGAGAGAGAATCTCAAGCAGACACCACGCTGAGCATGGAGCCCAACGTGGGGCTCCATCTCACAACTATGAGATCATGACCTGGGCCGAGACCAAGAGTCAGATGCTCAACTGAATGCACCACCCAGGTGCCCCTGATTTGGCTTTTAAAGTAAAGATGGAAAGACTATCAGAATTATAAAAAGTCAAAGAATTCTGCCATACAATGGAAGAGTGGTTAGGAGAAAATGATGAAAGCAGAGAGTGGTACTATTCAAATCAATTTAGCTTTATAAATGCTAATTTGTAATCATACCAAAATCCGTATGACTACTCTGGCATTTAAATGTTCTAAGATATTAGTAAGAATTTACATGGTATTTTCTAGCAGTTGAAAAGTATGTTCAAAAAAGAAAAATCTAAACGACTCAAGAGGTGACAGTGATATAATTAAACTAATTCTTCTATTTTATTTGGAATTTAAGTCAGTGATTATTAAACAAGGTTTTCAAATCTAATATGGGATCTTGTTTTATCTGGCTCCTTGACCTATTTTTAAAATAAAAATAAATGTGTTTCTTCAAGGCAAATAAGACAAAATATTAAAAAAAACTACCATCTTAACACTGTCACAGAAGGAGGGAGATAAATCAATATGGATTGTGCCATGCTAACAGATAACTACCTTGGTATCAGCCTCCAAATAGAAATACTTAAAATTATTGGCATAAATGCAGTATAGGAAATTTTAACAGTATGTGAAAAGATACCATCACAAAAGAGGAGGGAGTGGA